ATGAAGCATACAGAATTCATGAAACTGACATAGGGTACCAAGAGCCTAACTGAGTATCTGCATGCCTTTAACAATCTGTCAAGGTATGCCACAGAGTTTGTTGACACTGATGCAAAGAAGATTGCTAGTTTCAAGAGGGGGCTTAGTCCGAAGCTGATGAAGACTCTAGCTAACAGCAAGTGTGCCACTTTCAATGAGTTTATTAGTGATGCTTTAACTTAGGAGAATTAGAACAACATCTATTCATCATCTAAGAGGCATAAGAGAGCTTATGAAGTAGTGCATCTCAGTCAAAAGCTCCTATTGCTGCGAGACCTCAGTTCCGCCCACCTGCTCCAAAGTATAGACCACCTCAGAAGAAGGTACAGACCAGTCAGACCCAAAAAGTGTATCTCAAGGCCTTTTTTGTTGCTCTACCAAAGGGTAGCATAGGACAAGGAAGCTCTAGCGTTCCACCTAGCAACATGCCATGCTAGAACTACAACAAGCCTAGCCATTGGGCAAGAAATTGCCCCTATCCTAAGAAGAACAACAACTAGAAGCAGGGTAATCCAAATTGGACGGTTCTGTTACACTCCCCCCGAGAGGTGGAGGACCTAATGCCTTAGCTAGAGGACGTTGTCGAGGTGGTCCTGGCATCTATGCCCCTAAGGGGCGTCCTTCGTGGCCCTTCACCAGACCGCAATGAGTGATGGCGGAGACCGACGCCTTCCCCAGCTCCTATGAGAAAGAAGTAGACCAAACAATGTGTGTTCGGTGGTGAGATAGCTTGGTGTTGTCCATAGAATAGTTTAATGTTTGTAAATACTAAGTTTGTGTGTTTGCTATTTCTCTGCTGCCCTTTTTTGCTTTCTAGGCTCGTCCGGTGTCTTTTCTAATCGGTATTCGGGATCCTTTCCCTCGTGATCCTTGGCTTAGCCGTTGGTGGCCAGGGTTCACACCCTTTCGATGGCGCACAGGCATTGGTGCTTGGTCAAGGGTTTAGGAAGCGTGAATAGACTAGAAAGGAAGGGACCAGGAAAGCACGTCGAGCAGTGTACGCACGCGCATTGGGTGTTTCTTGCTTAGAGAGGGATCGACCCATGATGGGCGTGGGGGTGGGCCCCAGACCCCCATCTCAGATTGGGTCAGCCAAGTGAGGAGGGCCTGTTACCGCTACGTTTTTACTAGAAGGAGGGTGGATTTATAGCAATCAGAACACGAACTTACTTTTCATCTTAAAAAACACAAGGTATAGGAATCATAAACAAATGGGAAAACTACATAGCTTTGTGTTTGCTTCCTGGGTGCCTTGTTAGTGTAGATGATAAGCCATCTTGACTAGGCGTGGGTGCTGAGCAATTAGGTGGAGGGCTCAGCAATGGCCTTCCCTCAGGAGGAAAGGTTGGAACTCACCTTGATCGGGTTAGCCCTTCTGGGGGGGCTGAGCGCCTGGATGGAGGGGCCAGCTGAGCCATCGTAGCCACCAGTAGCATCGGGCGCCTTGTCGTAGCTCGGTCGGTCAAACGTCGCCATCACCTAGACCTCTTCCTCGACCGGTGCCCTTCCTACATCACGGCTAGAGCCAAGGGGGCGTAGGAGGCGGACATCATGGCCGCCTGAGCTCCTGGTTGTAGTGCTAGGCCTGCTCGAAGCTGCCCTTGATGATGAGACCCCATTTGGGCTAGGCATTTTTAGCTTCAAGTAGGTGTAGTTGGGGACAGCCATGAACTTGGCAAAGCACGACTGTCCAAGGAGAGTGTGGTATGTGGCAGGGAAGTCCACCAACTCGAAGGTGAGTGGCTCCTCCGGAAGTTATCCGTCTAGCCGAAGGTGACATTGAGCCAGATGTACCCGAGGGGCACAGCTTCCTTCCTAGGATGATCCCATAGAATGGCACCTTGCTTGGGCGCAGGCGGCTCTAGGGGATCTTCATCCTATCGAGGGTGCTAGCTTAGAGAATGTTGAGGCTGCTGCCTCCATCCATTAGCACCTTGGATAGGCGCGTGGTGCCCATGATCGGGTTGACCATGAGTGGGTAGTGTCTTGGATTGAGGACACGGTCAGGGTGATCGCCCTAGTCGAAGGTGATGGCTGTTTGTGACCACCTGAGCCATGTCAGGGCAGCCAAGGTGTGGATGGCATTCACCTCCTGCTTAGCAATGCGGCGCCAGTGGTGGGACTCATATGCCCTGGGGGCCCAAAGATCATGAGGCGCTACTTGGCCTTGGGGAACTTGGTGTCTTCCTCCTAGGCGTTGTCTGCCACGCACCAACCTTCTAGGCAGGCTTCCTAGGCCTTGCCCGGTTGGCCGAGGGTGCCACGGATGTAGCCCCTCATGGTCATGCAGTCCTTAAGGAGGTGCTTCTCTTGTCCCCCATGGAACGGGCAGGGGGGCCCGAGCACCTTCTCAAAGTCCTTGGGGCATGCACCCGTTCCACAGGGCTGAGGCTGGATGATGCATTCGGCCGCAGCTACCCTTATCCGGTACACCGCCCCCTGTGTTCGGTGCCAGGAATCCCCAATGGCTAGTTCAAACTAGCTGTTGAAATTCAACCATTGGGGCACCGCCACCCCTTGTCCTGTGTGACACGTTGTTGTCCCGTGCCCAGGCAAAATTCAGCTCCAAGGGTCCAACGGCTCTATTTGCTTGTGTGGCTATAAATAGACTTGGTGGTCGGCCTTGGCCACTCTCTTGGAACCCCATGCACTTGTGCTAAACCTTTGAGAGCTAAAGAAACACAATCCACTCATCTGCACACTTGATTTCATCATTTGAGTGAGATTGGTGAGCCTCTAGTGCATTGCATTGAGTTGTTGCATCTTGTGGCACTAGTTGAACGCATTGGGCTAGTCGTTCTCTTGTTACCCTTGGTGTTTGCCGACATCTAGATGGCCCGGAGATTGGAGGATCATTGAGCGGAAGTGGTGATTGTTTCGGGCTCCGATTGGTTGATTGTGAGGGGTGTTGTGCCTTCCCCGGTGGAGCGCCAAAGTCAACTCTAGTAAATTGCTCGTGTCATTGAATGCCCTCATTTGTGTAGGTTCTTACAGCGCCCTTGTGTAAGGCTAGTCTTGTGTATGCCTATTAGCGCGTGAACCACCAAGTGAACGGCCGACACAAAGGGGACTAGCTTGTTGGCAAGGAAGGGAACCTTGGGATAAATCATTGTGTCTCATTGGTATTCTTGTGTATGATTTATCTCTTGCCACATTTGATATACATCTCTATCACTTGTATTACATTCGTTTATTGATATCTCTTGTGTAGTGATGGTTTTTGTAGCTAGTTAAATAGATAAGTAGTTAGTTGAGTAGCTAGTTTATCTTAGTTGCAATTACCTTGTTAGCTAGCTCACTAGACTAGAAGTAGTGATATAACTCATTGATTGCCATAGAGATTTAGCTCGCTAGCATATTGGTAGGTGGCTTGCAATTTAAGTAGGCTAGAGCAAAATGCAATTATCGCCATATTGTTATGTAACAATTTTCTCTAGTGCTTTGTAGAATTTTTAATTAGTCTATTCACCCCCTCTAGCCATTTAGGACCTTTTACATAGTGGGACTATTGCTGTCGCGGTGGGGCTCAAGCTAGCCGACAAGTTCGCGCTCTGCCTCCCGCACGTGGCTGTCTTCAACGACGGGCTCGTCCACATCCCATGCTCAGCCGACGACGTCAAGACGGTGACAAACCACCTGAGTTGCATCTGCCTCCTCCGAAACTTGAGGAACAATTCCTACTACCTCGACGTCGCGGGCATCGCCGTGAACGCCGCGCTTGTGGCCCTGCCGAACGGGAAGCGCCCTCTCTATCCAGGGCTAGGGTGGCGTCGCGCTAAGCATGGTGGCTCCCTATGTACACGGTGCTACGCCTAGGCATCTACCGCGTGGTGCTCGTGGTGTTCGATGTGCCACCACCACCCACCCGCACGCCGCCGAGGTGCCCAGACCACTAGAGTGCTACTTCAACTTGACTGTGATGAACTTGATGGGGACGTGGACCGGCTCCCTGCCGGTGGCTGTCGACCTGATCGCTGGCGGATGGGAAGAACTAACGTTCACTAACATGACTGCGACGCAGAGGTCGTCCCACAAACATTGTGCTTTGCCTTTGTGGAGATGGGGGTGGGGACCGCTGTCCTCTATTGTTTTTTAGAGAAGTATAATAAAAGGCTATAAGTAGGCTAAATACTGAGGTGGAGGAAAGAGGAGATGACAGAGAGGAGAAGGGTTGTGAGTTTATAGCCTAGCTTAGATAAAAGAACCAAGAAACTCTGTGAAAGAGACAAGTAGGCCATATGTGTTAATAATAAAAAACTAACTACTATATATATGGTGAGAGAAATAGGCTGTAAAGATCTTTATATCTAGCAGCCGACTGTACTATTAGGCTTGCTGTTAGCTACAGCAGGAAATGTTAGCTGCAGTAGCGGGAGCACAATAGCAACGCATAGTAGCTGTGCAGTAGCAGCAGCGCTAAAAACAGGGGCGCAGTGCATTAAATGCTTGATTCATCAATTTAAATCAATTAAATAAACTAATATTTAGCTAGCTAATATTCTTTTTATTTTAAATTATAAATTATTTTAGTTTTTTTAGTCGATCTATTTTACTATGTATCTAAATATATTAATATTAGATATGAGTTATTAACTGATAAGGGTCCTGAGTCTGGGAGCGGCTAGATATGAGTTATTACTGGTCCTCTGTATACCACACGGGAGCACGAGTCATCACTCGAATTGACGCGTCCATGGCGCGCGTTGGTGGGCAAGTCGTGGGAATTCCAGAACATATCTGCTGTCGCTCAGCCTCCAATGACCATTTCACCACACACCAGAACAACAAGGCTTTTTTGCCTTGCGTTCCAACACAGTGGCCAATAGGGGCGCAGCCAGCACCGGTCCGCACTCTCCGTCCAGGTGGTCTGTCTGCCCAGTGCCAATCCCCAAGGAACCCCACCCATCGCCAAGTCAAAACAGGGAGGCTGGGACTGAGATTGAGTTGAGAGCATCGGAGCCATGGCGGCAGCGTCGGCCAACGGGCAGGAGGTGCCGAACAAGCGGGTGATCCTGAAGAGCTACGTGACGGGGTTCCCCACGGAGGACGACATGGAGGTGGTCACCGGCACCGCGCCTCGCCGTGCCGCCGGGGTCGGCGGCCATGGTGGTCAAGAACCTCTACGTCTCCTGCGACCCGTACATGCGCGGCCACATGACTAAGCACGACATGCCCAGCTACGTCCCGGACTTCGTCGTGGGCGAGGTAATAATAATTAAGGGTAAAATTTGATGTTTTTTCGACGTGGGGGAAGTAACTAAAGAAATCTAAAGAAACTTGTAGTCAACGAGAATTAAGGGTAAGATTTGACGCCAAGGTTAAAGATAAGGTTTTTTCGCTGTTCGTTTGATTTTTGGAGAAACGTCAGAGGATTTGAACTATGAATGGGCAATGAATCACCCGATAATAGTATTCAGTTTAATCGACAATAATATCTCATTACCTTTGTGCGCCGTGGAACTTGTGCAAATTACTAGAAAAATTGGAATCCCGTGCTCAGGTGTCAAGATATTTATGACCCGGTTCAACTTGGACTATTCGAAAAAAAAACTTAAATTTAGATTGTGAATCTATGCCTTCATTTATTAATAGGGCTAAAAGTGAATTAACTGTCCTCTGATGTTTGAACAGCACATGTTGAAAAAAAAACAAGATTGATTGTGTAGTTTTATTCTAAAGAACATTTGGGAGTCCTCTGTACTCTGTTCAGCCTGTGGACTGGTGATAGGTCCACTTCTTTTCCATTTACTTCTTTTTCAACTAGGGACCTTACACTTACAGTCCTGTGCTCCCCTACCCTGGTGCAAATCCTGCAGGCTTTGGTAAACTTTGGTGTATGCAAGGTGATAGCATCTGGGCACCCGGATTTCAAGGTCGGCGATCTTGTGTGAGGGATGACCGGCTGGGAGGAGTACACTTTCGTCCCTAAGCCAGAGTCATTTTTCAAGGTCAATCATCCTGAATTGCCTCTGTCGTACTACACGGGTGTCCTTGGTGAGTTCATTGTTTAGCTTACTGCATTTTCTTTCAACCAAACTTTACCCCTTCAATCTCAAGTCTTTCCTCCAAAATCTGTTTTATTTTGTGGCCTTTATCCAACTTACAGATTAGATTTTTTTTTCTTTGACAGTCTTTTACTGAATCCAAATGTTTCTGTGTTCCTCTGAAAGAATCCTTTTTCTTTATTCTTACACTGTTGTTCGAAGTGTTTCTTCCCTAACTAACTATATGGTAAATATCATACTGTTCAGGCATGCTCGGCCTTACTGCTTGGGCTGGATTCTTCGATGTGGGCAAGCCCAAGAAAGGCGACTATGTCTTCGTCTCAGCAGCATCAGGCGCCATTGGTCAGCTTGTTGGGCAGTTTGCTAAGCTCATTGGCTGTTATGTGGTTGGCAGTGCTGGTTCTGACGAGAAGATTTGTGAAATCTTCTTCTCCTTTGTCATCTGCGAACGATTTGCTTTCTTTCTCTAGTTCATATACAGTTTTATGAAGTAAGTTGCATGTTGCTGCCATTTGTATCTTTTTCTTGCCAATACTTGTAGTTACAACATTTCATCATTAATGATTACGGCTCTTCTTAATTCAGGTCAATCTTCTGAAATCCAAGTTTGGCTTCGATGAAGCATTCAACTACAAGAAAGAGCAGGACCTGGTTGCCGCCTTGAGGAGGTTGGCCAGCTCTTGTGTGCATTGTACACTAGAGCTTCAGCATTGCCAGACAGGGGGACTGATCATTCCAGCTGTGTTACTTACCATTGCTCAGGTACTTCCCGTTCCCAGAGGGCATTGACATCTACTTCGAGAACGTGGGTGGCCGAACACTGGAGGCCGTGCTATCCAACATCCGCAACCATGGGCGGATCCCTACCTGCGGGATGATCTCGCAGTACAACCTGGAGGAGCCAGAGGGCGTGCACAACCTGTTCGAAATCATCGGCAAGCGCGTGCGCATGGAGGGTTTCATGGTCTTCGACTACTACGGCCAGTACCACAAGTTCGAGCAGGAGATGGTCGGGTACCTCAAGGATGGAAAGATTACCTACGTCGAGGACATCGCTGACGGCTGGAGAAGGCGCCGGCGGCTCTCATCGGGCTCTTCACAGGGCGCAACGTCGGCAAGCAACTGGTCACCGTCGCTTGGGAGTGAGTATGACGCTAATATCTACCCGGAGAGTTGAGAATAAGGCCATAGCGTTGGAGTTCAGATGTGTTTGGAATTGATGGTTTGTAGTGCTTGTAGTTTTATGCTGCTTGTGTGAAAAGTTTCGATTTGTCGATTTTTGTATTAAAAGAAGAAGTAAGGCTAAATTGTGCAAGAAGTAAAAAAAACAAGAAAAAATAAAATGCTAACAACAACTAGGCTGGAACTCTGTCTCGGTATCTAAAAAATAATGCTAACAACTGAAAATTGCAGCCGAGCAGACACACAGGTACTCCATGGTCCATGCTATAGCTTAAGTATGTCTGATGTTCTAGAAGGTACTCCATTGTGGATTTAATTGAGTTTATTAGCTCATTTAATTTAATTAAATCAAATATATCCTAAGGGTCCTATTTAATGCTAGAAGTTATGTATTTAAAGGCCATGTTTGGCACAGCTTAGTTTCACTGATGAAGCTGTTTTTTTTTTGTTTCAACTTCACAAATAGTTTTCTTAGTGAAGCTAAATTTGTTTTGGAGACTCATTTGGCAAAATAGCTTTGCATGTATATTTTCTTAAAATATGCTGTCAAAGAATCTTACATAGGACCCACAAATGTGAGGCAAAGCTAGAAAAGGCTATTATTTTCAACTTCATCCTGCTCCATTTAGAGCGTAATTTAAGAAGCTTTATGGGTGAATCTATTTTCAAAAGACATGTCTAGCAAAAAAATAGCTCACAACGGCTCATGAAGCAGTTAGTGAAGCTGTACCAAACAGGACCTAATTTATGAGAATATGAGGCGGTTTTCACACTATGGGTTGATTGATTTGTGCAATTATGGTGGTTGATGGCCGCCTTGTAACAGTTATGGACAAAATAATTAATGACCTTACTGGTACTCCCTCCGTCCTAATATATAAGACATAACCATTTTTTATTGAAGTCCCATTATATAAGACGTGCTCTTTCTAGACACGCGTACATCGATGCAGTAATACTAATGTTGAGAGTAAATACATTCCTTGGTCTTTGAATTGGAGGTAGTTATGCCTTATATTATGGGACTGAGGGAATAAATGATAAAGCCCGTCTCCATATTCATCCTCTTCTCCCCAGTTGGGAAAATGATTCCCAGTAGAAGGTGGTGGGGCGGAGCCTCCACCCGGGTGAAGGCTGGAAGCTGAATGAGGGGACTCAAGTGGGACCAAGACAATTAGGGTTTCATAAATGCACTCACCAACGAACCCTTTTACATGGGGCTTGGTTCCCCTTTTATAGAGCACTATTCACTGGGATGCTACTTTACACTTCTACCCCTCGACAGCTAAGTCATATCCTTATGAATATTCCTATACAAGTTCAATCTACCAGGGACACCACGGGTCTTCTCTGCCTCCACCGTCTTTGCTTCATGGGCCCTAATGGCAGGGTCGTTGGAGGCCCACCTTGGGCTCGAGATCCTGCGCCGTGGGGACTCCTTCTCTAGCTAGCGAAGGTCCTCGCAAGTCCCCCGTGAACCTTCGTGTGGGCTGCCTCAGCCTTTGCCTCGCTCTAGATCCACGTTTCCTGCAGGGGTCCTCGCCATCGCCTTGGTGCCTTCGCCCTACAAGCCATGTCAAGCCCATGCCTCCGATAGCTTTCGCATCTTCGCTCGCTTGGGGAGGTCTAGGCGAAGGCTCTGATCACATCCCTGCAGATCACCACTCATGCAATTCACAAACGTTAGTCTTTTCGGTTAAGATGGTGGTTAGTCTCTGCGACTCTATTATTGGTGTCCCAACAATTCCCCCCTTGAGGGTTTGGTCTGATGCAGGCGGGACGTAACCCTCAATTTTTCTTCGCTAATATTGGGTTGTAGAGGCTCTTGCGGAACAAAGATAGCATGAAAGCATTATAGAGATTTATTCAAATAGAGATGATAGTGAGCATGATCATGGTGAGTAATTTTTTTCACTTTTTTTTACTAATCATGAAACTTCATGTGCTCATTTTTTATTTTTTAATAAAGATGCAAGTGGCATGGATATATGCATGGAACTAAACATGTTGTGGATTTGATATGAGAAAATTCAAACTAAACGGAATGGATGCATGGGTTATTCCAAGTAATCATATAGTGGAATGCAAAAAGATAAAGGATAACTACTCATTAAGTTTAAAGTCCATGAGCATGACTATCTCACCTTTTTTATCATACTTACTATGACTCATAAGATGAAATTTGTGAGTAGTGCAGCGTCTGTATTCGTCACTTGAGATATGATTTGAATTCTTGTGACGACGACCTTTTTCTTCAATCTACACATAGTTAGAATATATATATATATGTCTATATAAACCTGTGAGATGGTAGGGTTCCAACATTAATGGATCTTTGAATGTTCAGGCACCCTGGGTTCTTTAATGTTTCTTCTTTTCTTGTGAAAGCTTGCCGGAAGGTCGGAATGGCGTTTACTATCTTGTCTTATTCCACAATTCAACAGAACAGGGGTAATCCTACTAAAGCTAGTGATACGTTAATAATCTAAATCTTTACGCTAATTGTTCTCCCCGCAACGGCGTTAAAAATGTTTGCTGGTATTTATAAGTGCAAATAGAATATGAAAGATTCCTCAAGTGCACATAATACTGTTGTAGCATTTTACTGGGAGTATTCCAGGTATCGTTATTTATATTTTACCACATGGAAACAATAGAGTAAAGATTATTGAATATCAAAGGAGTATCTATCAGTCAACATACCATCATAGCAAGAGCAAGGGGTAAAGGTAATGATAGGAATTAAACATAATGACACTCAGGGGATAGATCACTAAGATACCGTAAACTAGTCAACCCAAGAGAACAACGGGTGAGGTAGATTCTATGATATTCTTATTACAGGATCAAAGTATATATACCCGACTATAGCTAAGACTCACTCTAATCTTGTGCACTTTGGGATGCCGCTAGACGGTAGAGCACCGCAAAAGGATAACTCTACTAATGTGACTACGGTCCTATAATTTAAGAACCTGCTCACATGAGGTGGACTATAGAGGATAAATAGGGATGTCACCTCCTACTGCTACCACACGGTCAGGGAACAGGGTGTACTCACAAGCAGAGCATCGTATAAGCACCATGCTTACATGAGGCTCGGCTACTTAGCCTAATCGATAAACTAGCAGGCTAAGCGCTCTATGAACCTGCACACAAAACTAAAGATAATCTCAACTAAGCAAGATACATATTAAAAGTAAGCATAGCCATATAGATAGGAATATGATGAATTGATAATAAGTCTTACAAGATGTAGAAGTGAAGATACAAGGCTTTGTCGAGCCTCCAAGACTAGATCCAAAACTTGAACATGAGCCCAACTCGACTCTTACTCCCGAGCTACTAATATACTACATTGGAGAGTTATAGACCTATTCCTCCTGGTGTGTGTTGATCTGAATAAGATATATGAATTAGAGTTTCCAAGATGGCTCTAGCGAGGGAGGTAGGGGCTGCCATATATAGGGGGAAGCATTAATTCTAGACCCTCGGATCAAACCGACTTAAAGCAACGGCATAGATGTGATCCCTTAAGGCGGTGGAGAACCGACCAATGAAGGAGATCCTGACATGTGGGGCCCATAGCCCCACCGGCCTAGGGGCAGGGCCGACCGGCCCCCCTATCAGCCTCTCAGCTCGATCTTCGGTGGTTTGCCTTCTGGATGATATTAGATCCTTCCTAAGTTGTTTTCGTCGTGGATAAACATGATTTGATCTGACGATTGGGTCCACCTTGCTTATTTTCTGAATAAATCCTCCTGTAAACACAGATTCACCAAAACTTGTGGAATTTATTAGTTTAAACCCCTAGACCTATGTTTGGTGATGGAATTAAGTAAATATGCAAGTTATGTTGATGGTTTATGAATGATGTTAATGACCGTCAACAAAGACCATGAGGAGCTTGGCAAGGCTCACAAGAAGCTTGAAAAGCTCATTCCTCTCTACTTAATGAGCAAAATGAGAAGGAGCATGTTGTAATATGTGACAAAGGCTTAACATGTGACATAATTAATGAATCTTTCTATAAGCCTATTGTTGTTTCTCCCGCTAACCCTTCACGTAGCTCATCATCCACTTCCACCTCACCTATGAGTGATGGTTTTAGTTGTGATGCCTCACTTATGGTTGAGAATGAGACCTTGAAGAAGGAGGTAAATGAGCTCACTCGCGCCTTAGGCAAAGCCTATGGTGGTGAGGACTGTTTGCTTATGTGCTTGGGTAGCCAAAGAGCTTCTCTCTACAAAGAGGGATTGGGCTATACCCCCAAGAAAGGCAAGGCGACCTTTGCTCCTCACAAGACTAGTTTTGTGAATAATAGTGGTCGGTTTTGCACTAGTTGCAAGCAAGTTGGTTATAAAGAGCATGATTGCAAGAACAAGAACAATAATGCTAATGTATACTCAATTAAGCTTGACTCTTTCTATGTGCTTACTAAGGGTACAAATGGTGTGAAGGCTAAGTTCATTGGTGCACCATGGTTGGGCTCGAGGAATACAGCCATTTGGGTGCCAAAGAGCTTGGTCACTAACCTTCAAGGACCCAAGCAAGTCTGGGTACCTAAAAAGAATTAATCTTCTTTTGTAGATCAATTACAAAGCCGGAGGAAGACATTGGGTTCTTGATAGTGGGTGCATACAACACATGACCGGTGATGCAAGAGTGTTCAACTCAATCAACACCAATGATAGTAATGGTTATGATAGTATCACATTTGGTGACAATGGCAAAGGCAAGTTCAAAGGGCTTGGTAAGATTGCAATAATCAATGACATGAGCATTTCCAATGTGTTGCTAGTTGAGAACATGAACTTCAATTTGCTATCCATGGCTCAATTGTGTGATCTTGGATTCACATGCATATTTGGGGTAGATGATGTAGAGATCATAAGTGTAGATGGCTCTAACTTGATCTTCAAAGGCTTTAGATATGAGAATCTATACATGGTTGATTTCAGTGCTAGTGAAGTTCAATTGTCAATATGCTTGTTC